TTCTTTTTTGTTTTTTATTTTTTATTTTTGTTTTTGTTTTTTTTCTTTTTATTATTTTTTTATTTTTATTTTTCTTTTTCTTTTTTTTGCTTTTGTTTCCTTTCTTTTTATTCTTATTTTGTCTCCTTTTTTTCTTTTTGTCTCCTTTTTTCTCCTTTTGTCTCCTTCTGTCTCCTTTTGTCTCCTTTTATTTCTTTTGTCTCCTTTTGTCTCCTTTTGTTGTCTCCTTTTCCTAATTATTTATTATATTCTCCTGTCTCTTGTCTCCTTTCTTTTTCTCTCATTTTTTCTTCTTTTTGTCTCCTTTTTTTTTCTTTTTGTCTCCTTTTTTCTCTCCCCTCTCTCCCTTTATTTCTTCTGTCTCCTTCTATCTCCTTCTGTCTCCTTTTGCTGTCTCCTTTTAGCATCTGTGTCTCCTTTTCCTAATTATTTATTATATTCTCCTGTCTCCTGTCTCTTGTCTCCTTTCTTTTTTTCTCATTTTTTCTTCTTTTTCTTTAATTTTTTTTTCTTTTTGTCTCTTTTTTTTTTCTTTTTGTCTCCTTTTTTCTCTCCTCTCTCTCCCTCTATTTCTTTTGTCTCCTTTTGTCTCCTTTTGCTGTCTCCTTTTAGCATCTGTGTCTCCCTTTCCTAATTATTTATTATATTCTCCTGTCTCTCTTCATCGTTTGGCGGACCCCCCCCAGCCTGTCTCCGCTTTCGAGTGGAAGCTAATCACCCCAAAGTTAGTTTTTTTTGTCTCCTTTTTTTCTTTTTTTTTTCTTTTTTTTTTCTTTTTTTTGTCTCCTTTTGTCTCCTTTTTGTCTTTGTTTTGTCTCCTTTTCTTGTCTACTTATGTCTCCCTTTTTTGTCTCCTTTTTTTCTTTTTTTTTTCTTTTTTTTTCTTTTTTTTGTCTCCTTTTGTCTCCTTTCTGTCTCTCTTTTGTCTCCCTTTTGTCCCTTTGTGTCTCCCTTTTTTATTTCCTTTTTTCTCTTTTTTTGTTTCTTTTTTTTTCGTTCTTTTTGTCTCCTTTTGTCTCCTTTCTGTCCCTCTTTTGTCTCTTTTTTGTCTCCTTTTTATCTGCTGCTTTTGTCTCATTTTTGTCTCCTTTTTTGTCTCCTTTTTGTCTCCTTTCTCTTTCTTTTTTGTCTCCTTTCTTCTTTTTGTTTTTATTTCCTTTTGTTTGCTTCTTTGTTTCCTTCTCTGTCTCCTTTTGAATTGTTGTTTTTGTCTCTTTTTTTTCTTTTTTTTTTCTTTTTGTCTCTTTTTTTTTCTTTCTTTTTTCTGTCTCCTTTCTGTCTCCTTTTAGTCTCTTACTATATGTATTTTCTCTCCCTTAATACTACATTTATTTTCTTTTTTTTTTTTTATTTTTTTATTATATTTAATATAATTATTTTAATTTATAAACTGCTGCAGGCGTTTCTCTTCTTTGTATATAGAAAGACAAAAGAAGGCCTTGGCCTGTCTCCTCACCTCTGCTGCTTCTTCTGGGCTGTATCAGCAGTTCACTCCTGCTGCTGCTGCTGCTGCTGCTGCTGCTGCTGCTGCTCCTGCTGCTGCTGCTGCTGCTGCTCCTGCTGCTGCTGCAGTTGCTGCTCCTGCTGCTGCAATTGCTGCTCCTGCTGCTGCAGTTGCTGCTCCTGCTGCTGCAGTTTCTAGTCCTCCTCCTGCTCCTGCTGCTGCTGCTGCTGTTGCTGGTAGCAGCAGCAGGAGCAACAGCAGCAACTGCAGCGCTATCAGCAGCAGCAGCAACAGCAGCACTAGCGGCAGCAGCAGCAGCAACAGCAGCTACAGAGCCATTAGCAGCAGCAGCAACAGCAGCACTACCAGCAGCAGCAGCAGCAGCAGCAGCAGCAGCAACAGCAGCTGCAGCACCAGCAACAGCAGCATTAGCACCAGCAGCAGCAGCAGCAGCAGCAGCAACAGCAGCAGCAG